AGTTAAACCTTTTAATTCCAGTGATCCTTTGAATCTTTGTTTCTTCACCTCCAACTCTGTCTCCACCCTTCTTACCTGTCTGCAGCTGTCAATTTGCATTAGCAACTCCAGTGCTTCTTCTTCATGTCCTTGAAAATCTACTCCAAACATTTTCCCCAATTTGATCATATTTTGGTGGACCCATATTGTTGCATCCATGTCTTTATCCAGTGATGGAATGTGTTGCTGAACTGCTATAGGAATCACCTCCTCGATTTCCCACTCTTGAATAGAGCTAAGTTGCTTTAGGTGTTCCACAGTGCTTCCCACATGTTCATTCCCCATCTCTGAGTTTATGCTTTGCTCCCCTTCCTTCTGTTCCGATCTTGCCCAATCTGCTCCTCCATCTGACTGATTGCAACTGGTAATTGTTTCCTTTTGCATACTTTCGAGATTCACATTGAGGGTTTGGTCCCCTGGAGAGGACTCTTTTGCCCCCGAGTAAGAAGGCCCTCCCATTTCCTCGATATAAGGCTTCAGCCCAGTATCATCAGAGATCTCACACGAGAGGTCATTAAAAATGACTTGTGCAGCCATATCGGGGTCATAGGATTTCAGCTTGACTTTTGACACTTTACTGCTCTGATTCATCGAAGTTGAACCTTGTGCAAATTGTCCACTTGCCTTTCCTTTACCAGTGTTAAGCTCATACCGTGTCTTTCTTTCAGCCCAGATTGGGATGAAAAATTTGGTACCGTTTCTTTCAATCCCCACCTCATTGGGAGTCTTTCTGCCATCACCAACAATTTTGATTCTTGCCCACTTAAGATGGTTTTTGAGATCAGTTTCTTCTTCTGTAGCTAACCATCCCCCACAGAGATCTCCTATTTCTTTGAAGATCTTTTGAAAGTGGTCACTATTTTCAATTTCAGTTTTTTTTAGCAATGATGAGTTTTTGATATATTTTAAAGCTTTTGCAGGAAGTGCAACTCTCATTCATCTGAGCAATTACCTACAAACTTCAGAAAGCATATAGGTCATACATGGATTATGCAAATTTCCAATTTAGTTGCAAACTTCTAAGATGGAGTGCATAACAAGACCAGTGTTTACAGGATATGCCACTTAGAGTTGCAAAAACACTATTAATAAAGCCAGCAAGCTGCTTGAATTTAAAAGGTGTGAGCACCTAATTTACAACTAAAAGGCCACTGCGCTTGTTGGACACACTCACAATTTCACATGAAAAATATCCTGAAACATCCAAGAAGTGGCATGTGCGTGTGTAACATAACCTAGGCGAAAACATGGTCCACTGGGTGAAACTGCCCAAGACACCACACAGAGAAAGTCACCTATGCTTGCCAACACCAAAATATTCCCACGGTGCTGTGCGGGTCAAAGGATTAGACATGAATTTTTAAGTCAACATTGCAATCACTAAGGATTTTAAAAATTAAAGTATTTAATTATTTCCTTCTTGTAATGGATAATTCTTTTTTATAAAAGTGGTGTTCGGGCCATCTTGCACAACCTCGATTATTCCCACGAGTACCTGCTACCTCCTACCAGCACAAGCACCATGTAACTCTACTCACCAAGGCTTAGGCAACATAATCTTTTCTCCATGGTTTTTAACTTTTACCCACATTGACGGTTAGGCCACACCTTTGGGTCCTCTTGTAATGGATAATTTTCTTGGAAAATCTGGTCAATATAGGAGCATTCCATCCATTCTGAGGGTAAGAGAAACAACAACAACAACCCAGTATAATCCCACTAGTGGGGTCTGGGGAGGGTAGTGTATACGCAGACCTTACCCCTATCCTGGGGTAGAGAAGCTGTTTCCAACGGCATCCTTCCCTCCAAGAACTCCCCACCTTGCTCTTGGGGTGACTCGAACTCACAACCTCTTGGTTGGAAGTGGAGGTTGCTTACCATCAGAGCAACCCCTCTTCTCTGAGGGTAAGAGAAACCGTCTATGAATTCATACGGCTATTTTATTCTTAAGTGATAAGAGTTGTACAGTGTCCTAAAAAGGAGTTACAAAGGTCTTGAATTACTCGACCTACTGTCCTAAGCTTTCAAGTTGGATGCTCATATAAAGACCAAGCTTTGGCATACCTTTTCCCACACTCATAACTTTGCAATAAGTACACATGTCAACCCAAAATCAGTTAAACATGCATAAGGGTGTTAATAGCATTAAAGTCCACATATAAACCCCATAATCAAGATGCTCGTGTAATATCCCCTATTCGATAAGATAAGGGAATCCAAAGAGATTTAAAGATGTTGTCTTAAGGTTTTGAGTCAACTCACATTCTTTCCCCAGATAATACATTACTACAAGAGAAATATCTAGAAATAAAGATGGGGACTATCTCAAGTTATTATGGTGTAGAGTTTAGGCTACTTGTTAATAGGATATCTTAAGGCATTAGAAGGATTTTGGGACAAAACCATCATAGATCCTCATCCATAAAAATTTAAAAAATAAAAATAAATAAATAAACGTTAATAACAATCAACAGCTAAATGTTTTTAACGGTTCCTAGTCAGTAACGACTTAATCTACAGATAAAGAAGGTTAAACATTTCGTTTCTTTCTAAGAACATCCCTTCTATATGGTATATATCCGCATGACAAAAAGTACACTTCACAGATATGAGTTTCTCTCCATAAATAGGATTAACTGTAATTTCTTCAAGACCTCAAGGGCTGTGACAAACCAGGATAGCTCATAAATACCATATAAATTTCAAATTGATGAAATAATAATCAAAAGTTCAAACAAACAAAAGCATTGATTCAATTCAAACTTTTTTATTTCTTATAGGTCATGGTCCAACAAACCAATCCAGGTTGTCTACCCTAATGTTTGAGCACTTTCTATGAGCTTGTAAATTGTTTCATGAAGTGGTAAGATTCAGTACACTGCAAGAGTCAAATAGATGATCATACATCTCAAATCAGTTTTCATGTAGAGCCACCAAGTAAACCATCATCATATCCAAAACAACCATGCTTAGAGACACCAAGAAAGCTATCATTATAGCCACTGGTAGGTTTATTAAGAGTAGCTACATTATCAAAATCCAATTAGTGACACAAGCAAAATCTAAAGGTGAGAATATCACGAGTCTAGAATGCAGAAATTACCTTGCTGTGTTAAGAATGCTGTCATTAAACCACCAGGTGCAAGAACAACATTGAAGTACAAAAGCACATAGGCTATGCTTGCTGGAAGAACAGGTTGTTTGACATATTCAAACCATCCATGCTTTATAGCTTCCAGACCCACTCTCACTGAAAACAAACAACAGGCTCAGTATAAAAGTAAAATCTATTTCCACCTTCATTGTAACTCAACTCAAGAGAAGATACCTATATTTTCAGATTCTAGTAAAGACCGCTCGGAGGAACAACTGCAACAAGTTTGCACAGCACGGTCAAGAACCCCAGAGGAAAGCTTGTTGGTTAGCCATGTCAGAGATACCTAGTAAAAAAGGTGATAACATTTAAGAGCTACACAGTGTTCTAAACTTCAAATCACAGAATGAAATAGAACCAGAACTAAGATTTACCAAAACAGGAAGTGCCCCAATCATCAAACCGGCAGCAATTTTTAAGCATAAAACTGGTTCATATTTAGACAGAAGAATGCCAAACAATGCCGCACCAGCAATCTAAAATTATCCCGGAAAAAAAAAGAGAGCTATAAGATAAATCATAAAAGACCAAATTTTTAACTTAAATGACAATCACTGCAAATTTCAAGTAAAGTATGTTTGATAAACTTAACTCAATAGAAACAAAATATCAATACATCTGAATATATTTTTTTAGATCATTCATAATCATTACGCTGCAAAAGAGGGGGGGAAAAGCTGCCATTGAATTGCCTATTACCTCGCATAAGAGGTCAATACGGCTTAGAATAGCATTTGCTTGAGCAAGAACAACTGGGCGATTAGTTCCAGCTAACTGTAAAAACATGACTTAAAATTAGGAAACTGCTCAAGCACCGTTAAGTAGTCAAAAAGTAAGATATAGTTGACAAAACAAAGTTCAAACAGCAGTACCAAAACAACCCAATCACGCTCCACTGCGACCCCCAATGCCAACCCAGATAGCCTCTCAACAGCTCCCGCTAGAACAAGCACAACAAACCAAGGACGGAAAAGTAAAGATGATGCAGATGTTGGATGAAGAGTATGACCATGTATAATCATTCCAACAGACACCAACTGGGCAGCTGTCTGACAGAAAAGAAGTATTAGAAAACTTGCAGGAAAAAGTTTTGCATACACCATTCCTTAGCGACACACCCCGAAAAGGATACCTGGACTATAGATAGACAATTATATGCAGGTACCCTCGGAAAGTGATCCATAAGCTTGCCAACCAGAGGACCTCCACCAATTACAGCAAGCTGTACAAAGTATAGCAGGATGTAAGGTAAATAATTATCTTCAAGCCTTTAGTCTTCCTGTAACTTCTAATCAAGGACCGTCCTGCTCTTTTTAAACCTCTTTCGCACCTTCTTGATACCTTTCTATTAATAAAATAAAACATCTTACCTTATCCAAGAAAGTAAAATTTAATACCTTAGCAACGAAAGCCATTAGTGCTACAGGAAGAAGACTAGGATGAATCAATGCAATAGCAGCAGGCGAGGCAATATTCCAAAGTTGTTCCACCAAATTCCCAGCCAGGCAACTAGCATATAAAGCTGTTCGAATGCATTGACATCAGAAATCTATAAAATGTTCAGAGATTACCGGCATAACTCGACTAATCATTAACTGGTCATGTTTTCAAAGTCAAACTACTTATCAAACAAATTACCCTGGTGATGTGCCGGGGGGTTTTGTGGAATAATGCATGCATAAGCTTTGTATATTAATAATACCTTGTTTGGTACACTTTTTGAACATATGCATTAGTTAAGCAAGCATCAGTTATAAACCCTATTTAGCATTATCCTAAGCATAACTAATGCATAGGAAACCATGTTATTAACAATGCAATGGGTTTCAATGCATGCATTAGATTAGTTAAAGACAAATTTGCCCTTCAAAATTTATGCTTGATTAAAATATGCTATTATATTAATGCAAGTTTGATGTAAAGTTTGATATTGAAATTGCTCCCGCTATTTATATCTATACTCTGCCAATTTCTTCATTGTAAATTTATAAATTTGTACTCTATTACTACGTATTGGAATGCACTTATAATCAACTCATTTTCCTTTTATTTTTTAATTTAAACTTTCTTTGCCTAATAATCCAAGAAAGTGATAAATAAATACTTAGCATATTTCCTTTTTTATAAACAAATATTCAGTTCTATACTACAATATAAGTAGACAAATCAAATAATTTTTTTAAAATCTTTTCATAATTAAACATTCCTCAACATATGTTTCTATAAAAAGATAAAGTGATGGACTGTTTATGAGGGTATTTTTGTAAACAAACAATTCTTTAAAAAATTGTGCAATGCTTTAATACATCAAACCAAACAACAACAACAATAACCACCCAGTATAATCCCACTAGTGGGGTCTGGGGAGGGTAGTGTGCACGCAGACCTTACCCCTACCCTGGGATAGAGTGGTTGTTTCCAAATAGACCCTCGGCATACTTCCCTCCAAGAACTCCCCACCTTGCTCTTGGGGTGACTCGAACTCACGACCTCTTGGTTGGAAGTGGAGGTTGCTTACCCCTTTTGTCTGACATCAAACCAAACAATGGATAAGAAATATTTTAGCATAACTAATGCAAGCATAACCCCAAGAGCAAGGTGGGGAGTTCTTAAAGGGAAGGATGCCGAGGGTCTATTTGGAAACAGCCTCTCTACCCCAGGGTAGGGGTAAGGTCTGCGTACACATTACCCTCCCCAGACCCCACTAGTGGAATTATACTGGGTTGTTGTTGTAATGCAAGCATAACTAATACCAACATTAGTAATACAACCTATTCAACATTATTCTTATGCACCCTACCACACGACCCCTAGCGGAATTCCATGAATCATCAACAACAATAGTGGTGGTCTTGTTAAANATATATTATATATATATATATATATATATATATATATATATATATATATATATATATATATTCCGTTACTGAAGATAAAAGATTTGAGTTCTTAGGGAGCTCCCAAAATTCAAATCTTCAGCTTGTTTAATGACATTGCTTTGTTACTCCAAATAATCCATCTACCATATGAAATATGATTAAAAAAGAACAGATATTTATGTCTCAGAAGGAGAGCCTTAGCGTAACTGATAAAGTTATTGCCATGTGACTAGAAGGTCATGTATTCAACCCGTGGAAACAGCCTCTTGCAGAAATAAAGGGTAAGGCTGTGTACAATAGATCCTTGCGGTCTGGCCCTTCCCTGGACCATAGCGGGAGCTTAGTGCACCGGGCTACCCTTTTTTAGATATTTGTGTCTCAGCCTCATATCATACGAACTTCTAGAGGACCGCACCAGATTCTCGATGTATTGGTATTTCACAGAAGTATCCTTTGGTTAATTCCAAACCAGGTTGAGGTTATGCATTTATCAGCATTTTAACGTACAGCAGACAGCAATTCATTCACTTTTAACCATAAGTTAAGCTTCTACCACACTAATATGAAATGCCACTCCACCTAAGAGGAAAAGACTAACCGTATAACCCTGCTGGATGAGCAGGTGTTGCAGCAATAATATTCTGCTCCTCCTCCGTTAGGACCTGGTCAACATTAATAATAGAAAAATCAAAGTGATAGTTAGATGGGAACAGGGGCAGTCAAATGACTGAGTAGAATTAATCATAACAAATCCTACAGGCAATGTTGTCAAGAGAGTGTCCACGAATGTGCCCTTAGCTAGCAGGTTTAGTGCTTCAGTTTCCAGGATATCAGATTTGAGATGAATAACAGGTACTGAACAGCCGAAATCATCAGTTGCAACATCATCCCGAACCTCTTCATCAGTTGCAATGTCAGTTAAGACGTCAGTATTTATGGAACATCTAGAGCTAAAACTTCCAACCCTGCATTAAAACCAAAGAATTCAGCAACTCTTGCACTGTATCACATTATTTTTCCTCTGTTTGGCTAGTAGTAAATTAGATTGACTTTCCTCAGGCATTTGATCCTTGAGGATCAACAATGACCACACTATCCTATACGAGTGCTACATTCTTGTCCGAATACCAAATTTAAGCTATTTATTGGGGAAAAGGGGTAAAGTCACAATGCCCACACGCAGATATACAGTACCAAATCAGTGATTCAGAATGTCAAGAGCTTAAAATAAAAGCATAAAGGAGGCACCTTTGAGGGGTAAAGCGAGGAGTAGTTAACCATCGACGAGAAGAGAAGCAAGGGCGTATTCTAAAGGAAGACGACGACATGAACGGAACTTGACGAACAGCAAGGAAAGCGTGAGAAACAACAACCGCCATGGTTTATTTAACTGCTTCACAACTTTGAAGAAACGGATTTCTTCTACCGATACTTCTCGATAACTACTCATGCAGCCCGAAACACCTAGCCGGTAAATCCTAGGGTCATTCGTTTATGGAGACGTGTGTGTGTGGACAATGTATTTGTGGAAATCTCAGAGGAACTGGATTGTTATCTGGTTGAATACGGAGGCGGACAACTCAAAACTCTCGCGAATGGATTGCCTTAAGTCCAGAATTTTGGCTGCTGACGTGTTTTGATTTTGCTCCAATGCTGTGCCCACTTGCTGAAAACTTTTAGAAACTGTTGGCTCGTGTTTGTTCATTGCCGAAAGTTGTTCAATTGGTCCCTAAGCCGTGGTTGGAGTTATGAAACTTTCCCCATAGTTCTAGTTTCTTCTGTTTTCGTCCTCAATTCCTTACACTTGGCCTTTCNCCGCGAGGCCCGGCCCGTTAGGCCCACTAAGGCCCGGGCCCGGGACAAAATACAGCCCTATTTCTACATAGGAGTATTTCTTTTTTGGTGTGTGTATATTTTCCCCTCTCAAAATATATACTACTACTTATCTATTGTTTGTCATTATTGGTGCCCGAAACAAACCCAAACTACTGAATGTGAGGATTTTAGGGTCTAAAACAGAAAAAGAATTCACTTAGGATGTTTCATAAATAGCCGCCTCTTTGATATTCGCTAGTATTAGCACCCGCGCGGATGCGCGAACACTAATCATGTTAATTATTTAAGTTATTTAAATTATATGTAAATAGTCTTACAATTTAAATTTTCTTGGTAAATATAGATCATCATTGGATATTAATAAAAACACTACATGAAAAAATTAACCATTTCTTCTATTTTTCTTTTTCGATATCATTCTCGTCGATGTCATTGGATCCTAAAAGTAATCATGAAACGAAATAATAACTCATGATTATGGCAAAACAATCAAATGTTGAGACTATGAATGACTCTTTGGATACGACTGGACTTTTTTACTACTACTTGAACTTTTATTTGGTATGTCGATATCTCTTAAAAATATTTCATTTTTAAAATTTTAGTTTCTAAAATTTTATTTTTCAGCAAAATTATTTTTATAATAATGTCAGTGAATTTATTTTTCAGTATGACCCCATTTTGATATTTGATATTAACGATGTTAAATAACTAAGTTATTTGATTTATATGTAAATAACTTTAAAATTTGTGTACTCGAGTTGAAAAAAAGATTTGAAATCGATGATATTTATGTCCAAATTTTTATACTCAACAAAGATGAATCATCAGAAGAAATTCGTTGTCATCTCTTATTTCTGGTTTTTAGATCTTTCATACATTTTTTTAATATTTTTTTCTTTTATCTTATTTTTTTATATATTCTTTCTTTTGTTACAAAAAATTAATTTAGTTCAAATGAGTTTTAATAGAAATTGTCTATATAAGAATTTTATTTATATCTTTAGTCTTTGGTTTAAATTTTTTCATATTTTTCTTCTGGCTTTGTCTAATCAGCCTAAATAGGTGCTCATCCGACCACTTAAATTAAACAATCGAAGGATGTGTAATTTTTATACAAGCCATATATAATATGTGTATAATCGTGTGTTGTCAGCATATCATCTATTTATATTAGCTATAAAAAGTAAACAATAAATCTGGCCTGATATTTATGGAAATATTCCATAAGATTTTAGTTTTTTGAGTTTATCCATGATACGAATTCTATTATAATAATTTTAAAAACTCTCTACTAATGTTCAAAAATATCTTATATTTTTATTATCTTTAAAGTAGACAAAAGTAAAGAGTTTTTTCGAAGTAATTTGTTTACATTTTATAAAAAATATTTCTCGTCTTACCAATTTTTTTTTATAAAATATATTTTTTGTTACACTGAAAATCGCTATAGAAACTATCAATTAGAAACCAATATCTCTCTTGTTGAGTTCGAGGGAAAAAAACCTTTCACATAATCTAATGATTCCAAACTAATATTCTTCAACGAAAAAAATATTATACCCTTGCAATATTTGCTTGACTACAGCTAAATGAAGGGGTTCCAACTTATACTCTTCAATCCCTAAAATATGCTAAATTGAATTAATAATAGCAATTATATAACTAAAATTTTGTTAATTGTTTGATGTCCATTTATACAAATTGATTCTTCAAACAAATATTCTTCGTAAAGGAAAAGAAAAGAAAAAACTTTTTTTAAATATTGACTAATTTTTGTGATGTATTTTCTCCAGCATGTATGTTTACTTCATTATATATATAAGTAAACTTTTATTCGATTTTTAAAGTCTTTTTTGTTATTTGGATAAACATAGACGTGTACCCTATATATTACATTTATTTTAAAATAAATCTACTTTATTCAAATCTAGTTATAGTATTTTAAAGAACTATAATTATAGGGTATTAAATGTGAAAGAGTTTTATAGTTATATGGAGTAAAAAAAATTTTGTCAGAGGCGAAGTAGTATTTAAATAATTAGAAAATATAACAAAAATTTCTAACATGATTGCATATGGTCATTAACCGAATTAAATATGATAACATGATTAAAAAAAGATAATTTTTTATTTTTAATTTAAAATTTAAAATTTAAAACTTTATCTATAAATTCAAAATTATTTTTAATTCAATATATATACTAATATCCGTACCCGCGCGTTGCGCAGAGAATAATAAATATAAGAATTTTTTATAAGAAAATATATGTTGGGAAAGACGGTAGATACAAAAGAATATGAAAATGCTATTATTTTTTGGAACATATAATCAAACCTCCCTGTCAATGACCAAATTAAAACGAAAAATATAATCACAAATAAAACATATATAAATTTTATAAACTTATTATATCTTTCCTATCAAAATGGAAAGTATGGCTGCCTTTGTTACATAACACATTACCGTAATGATAGCAGATGGATTGTCAAAAAAATTAGTGGTCCGCCTTGATATGAATCTCATTCTAGAATCTAATTTTAGACACCTTGATACTTTAGTGGTCCGCCTGTACACTATGCAAGTTCATGGAATGTAAGAGCTAATAAGAAAACATTAATTGTTCATAAACTGTTGGAAATATTATGGATGTAATATATAAACAACATTATAGTAGTTCCTGCAACACCAATCGCCAGAAAAGCCAAAGTAACTTTACCTCCATCGTTCTTTAATTATATTACAAAAAAACGTGAGAAATTATAGCGAAGAACAATTGACAGAATATTCAATAAGAATACTTTAAATAAAATATCCATGCTCACTTTAGTATCTTGTTATTGTAATTGGATACATGCTTCACCATATCAAACCAATTATTAGGGACTACATTTGAGGGTAAGTATCATTATAAAAATATTAATTTTTTAAAGATAGTTACTGGATGCAATAGAACCAAGAGCTTCAGCTGGGGACAACATGAACTAATTTCAGCTCAAGACCGACAAAATAATTGAGTTTGCTTGCATTTAGGACTATTAATCCATAATAATAGACAACTAAGCAAAAAATTATAAAATATGCTATGCAAGTGTAAATTAACTAATCAGCTAATGCAATGTAATGGTGTTTCCATTACACGCCTTAAGTTCATTAGAATGAAAGAGTACTAAGGTTTAGAGCCAAAGGAATGAAGCACATTAGTCTGACTTTGTTGACCAGTAAAACCTCTGATTCAGTGGAGACCAAACAATACACCAATGAGAATGTAGCAGACCATCAATAAGAAGGCAAATTGCATTGTAGAGGTAATAGCTTAATAGTCTATATTGTTTTTTTTTTTTGTAACACGTAAAAGAGGTAGCAATAAGAAGCAAAAATTGGCACCCTACATTAACTTTGTATTAATCAAACAAATAGAAGGAAGAGAGCTATACCTGACCCGACTACTTGTGCACCTAACCAAGTACTTATGCAAGTAGGAAAGATTTCTCCGCCCCAACAGTCCACGATACAGCCGCAAGCTCTCATTTTTTAATCCCAAAGTTTATATTTTTCAATGCTTTTTCAGTACTATTTTTATCATCCCAGCAAAAAAATCAATCTTTCACATGCATAGCAATTGTACCCCACAACTTTTCAGTCTTTCCACACCTTTATTCACTAAATCCTTACTCATCATAGATCCATTAAAGTATGGTTGAATTTGATCCACAAGTTCATCCCACAAAATTGTTGAAATCATGTTCCTCGTGTATGTTTCATGGTAATAGTTCAATTTTATTAAATATAAAAAGTCATATACAAAAATATAGGAAGTTATATTGTTAATGTATAGTTTCTATTTCAAAGTTTAGTGCATACACTTCTAGCTGTGTTTATAATCTGTATAATAGTTTTCCTGTGAATACAATTCTTGGCTCAAAACTTTGGTCCAGGCAGAACAAAAGAGCTAACTCTAACTGAATGATTTGCGTAGTTAAAAGTAATATCATGAATATCAGAAAGATCAGTTCCTATGTACATATTGTCCCTTCCATATGCAGATATGCAGATGTTTATTACTGGAAGTAACAAACAAATCTGGCAAAAGAAAATTAAAAATACTTTTTTGATATTCTAAAGAGGAGGACGAAGAAAACTACAACAACAAATGGTAAGTTAATGCAAAATCTATATGTAAAGTAAATTCATTATATTGGAGGGCATAAGAAGCTTCATTTCAAACATACAGGCCTCAGTGACATATTATCAAAGAAAGATGTACAATCATGCGTTAGAGATACATAAAGTTAATGTTTAAGTAATTCTACATCAACCATAAGAATCACTAAATTTTGCGCCAAGGTATAAACTCCATACGTTCGAAGAAAAAGAGAGCAAGGTAGCAACGTAACTGTTTAAATTAAATGAGCAGAGCACCTGGCAAAATAAGGTTTGTGAATGGAAAAGATGGCACGAATTGAAATTAGTATTTCAATTATCTTTTAGAAAAAGAAGAGACAAAACATCTAGCTATATTATAATGAGGATATGATATCATAAGTACACACACAAGGTAGATATCCAATCACCTTTGAAAGCTTACGATGAACATCATCTCCAGTGCTACTGCCAAATTTGAAGCAGTGGCTTAAGCAGTCTAGTAGTTGATTTGGAGCAGCAGTCTGAATGTCAGATTCCAACAACATAGCATGTGCTACAAATTCAGCATATTGCTCCCCAGCTTGAAAAATAAAGCTATGATGCCTCTCCAGGAGCTCCTTTTTGGCTTCAGCAATTGCAAGTTGAACCTTTAGATTATAGAAGTTAGTCAAATACTGATCTTTTATTACCTTCAAGACCAATAAAGTTATATATTGGATATGCACCTTATGAATTGGGAATAATGTACAATAACTTAATATCATTATGTTCTGTTGCAGCTCTTTCCATATCACTTTATGGAGTATGTTTGTCGTGTCACGAGGGTGTTTCCTTTCAGATACTACTGCGACATGATTTTTGAAGTCATGAAAAATGGTATAGCCTTCTATGATATTAGTTCAGAATTGACTATTGAGGGTGTATTTTTTTTAGTCGAAACTTTAAGTATAGAGTCTGATGCTGACATGTTGTATAACATACTTAAATATGTCCAACTTATGCAATCCAAGTTGTTATTGCATTACAATCATAGAAGGAAAGCAAGGAGTTGTATAGATTAAGACCATCAATATACCTTTAATGATGATTGAAATTTTTTCCCTTACTGTCATTTGCATCTAATTCGTCTGCAAAACAAAATAAATCGTTGACTATACAAACACATATCATTGTTAAAAAAGTAAATCATTCGATCTTTGTCAATACTCTATGACCAGACATCAAATTTCTCATATTATCTCAGAAAATAGAATCCCACTCTTTCAAATCGACATTACAAAACTAAAAAAATGCAGAATATAAGAAAACCAGAACAAATTGCATTTACTTACTCGTTTCGAATAGAATGTTAAAAATCCAGCTTATAATCTGTTGCAATTGACATAACTGAACAGTAAATGGAAAAAGAAAAAAGAAATTTTGATTATACTAAAATAGTAACGATTTTAGACCTGATAATATTTATGCTTAACAAATGGAAAAATCGAAGCTTTCGCTTATTATTAATCGATTCTCTAAAGATTTCACAATACATGAGATCTTTGTCAATACTATATGAGAATATCTCGTCTTGTATGACAAAAGACCGTATAGTACTGGAGAAAATTATATGAATAGAATCAAATAATGAGATCGAAGAGATGAAATTCAATTATGTGAAGATGCATAATTATACAGAAAAAAAATACAAAAATAGACAGTTAGTGATTCTTACTTTGAAAAATCTTTAAGAAGTTGCATATGTTATGAGAATCAACAATTTGGCTGCTTAATGTTTAATAATTGGATACCTATCGACATCTTTAACAGACATGGATAGTGCATCGGTAGCATTTTAGTATGTAATTGACCAAATACATTACACTTCTTGCTTTAGTAAAGCAGTCTTTGATGTTACTGATTGTTTAATTACGAAAATTCTTCGTGTCCACCATTGTTCTAATGTGAAAAAAGAGCAGCATAACATTCATACATGCACCGTTCTTCACTCAAAAGAAATACTTAGAGAAATGGAAGTTTAAAAATATGAGAAAGTTGAATATGTTACCTTCGAATCATGTAAAGCCAATTCAATTGAATACGGTATTTCCGGCTTAAAGTGAGCCGACATTACCCACATTCGAACGACTCTAATTTTGAGATTTCATTGCATCGAGTTGCTTGGAATTTGTTTGATATCATGAAGTTGTGTAACCATATTTGCAAAGCAATTGTAATCAGACTGGTATATTGAGTAGATAAAATATGAAGTTAAAAAGCCATTGAAAATATAAAGCGCATAAATCAATCAGTTATGGAGGTATAGATAAAATAGGGATTTTTGGTTGGAAGCCCACGTTTGGGAGCACGATCAATCGTGGGATAAAATCCGACTGTTTTCCTCCTCTTTTTCACTTTTATGTATAAAAAAAATAATTGCAAATTTGAGTGGGCAGTTGTTAAAGAAAAACGACCAACTTCATACATGGACGAATTTTTTTAAAAAAAAACTGTTTTCCTTTTTTTTTTTGTTAACTTTTATTTATAAAAATATAATTACAAATATGAGAGGGTAGTGGTTGAGTAAAAAACGGCCAACTAAGAAAGTGAGAGGATTTTTTTTTATAACAACCAACCAAAAAAAGGGGAAGGAATTCTGTTTTTATTAGGCAAGTCTAATAATCTAATATCTAATAATAATAACAATAATATAATAATAATAATAATAATAATAATAATAATAATAATAATAATAATAATGAGATTAACTGCAAAAACACAATCGGGGGAGGATTGGAAGTTTTTGAAATTTGATAAATTTAACTTTATTTTTCTGATTTGTAGTTTGAATTTGAAACTCCAACTATCTTGGAGAATTATCATAATTTTTGATATGTTAGAATTGTGGCTATTCCACTTGGCAGCCTAAGATAGTTTTGCTTTTGTTATTCTATATATATATATATATTTGTATTTGACTAACATATTTAAATATAGAATAAAGTTACCATATTTATTGACATTTATTAGCTTGCCACTTGGCTTAACCATAATGCCAACTATATATGGTAACTTTATTCCTTTAATATATTTATAGATATAGATTATTATGGGGTGCACATAGATAAGTAGTTGTTGGATGCTATATAGCTGAAAATGCTTCTCATAGTAGTTTTGAACTTACTAAAGCAAATTCGAGCTTGCTCTTATATTTAAAAAAGTAGTACTCCTATTTATGGTACATGACCTAACCAACTAAAATCATGAGCAAAATTATTGGTAAAAGGTAATAAAGGCTCACATGATCAATGGAATGAAAGTGCCTTTACTTTCTGTGACATAATTAACACATGAAATATAAAAATGTATGATCCTTCGTTGTCCCTTCATATATTTTTTTTCCTCATTTTATTTACTTATGTGATCCCTTTGACACCATTTGCAAAATGTCACTAAGTATTCTTCTAACTTGTGCCACTCCTCACGGAGGCGTTTGATGTGGTCGCAGGAGAAAAAGCAGAGCTGATAAAAACTTGCTCGCATGGGAGACACACAAAGCTTGGGGAAAACCTTTGAGCATCTAATGTGTATGTTACGTGAAATTAAGTTGTCGTTAGAAAATTATTTGTTTGGTCTGTTCTGTTAGTTGGACTGTTCACACTCAAATTTCACAAATTAAAGGATAAAAGGTGCTCAAGGTTATATTTAGAGGATCATTTAGGTATACCCCAAACATAAAGGATAATTGTGAGGAAAAAAACTCTATCTTTGTCGGATGAGTAATAAATTAAAACTTAAAAACTCCAAAATCACAAAAAAGAAAAAGGAAATATGACAGTATGGATTGAACAACGGCTGAGATTGTGATTGAATCCCACTATAAACGGTGGATATCTTCACCACTTTGCATGGATGACACACGTACACCTCTTTGACAGCAAAGAACCATCAAATGGCCCCACAAACATTACCACGTCAGACAACAGTGGGGCCACAGAGAGTTAAGTGGATGATGAACCAACCCCATAAAGTAAAAGCACAGTCGCATTGGAAAACGGAGGAATGAAAGTGTGTTTCTCTGCTACTGTGCAGTTTCTCAGCATGGCGGCAGAGGATCAGAAAAACAAGAAGAATAAGACCATTATAACGGAGAAGAAAATCTACGGCGAAGATAAGTATTCCGGTGCCGGAAGTAATTATGCATGTAGCTTCTGGTCGCCTGTAGTTACCGGCAATCTCTCGGCAATGCAGAGTGGACAGAGTTCCTATAATGGAAAGGATGGCTTCTATGAAAGGCTTAACAAGTTAAACGAGTCCTCAGGACTTAGTCTCATGTGAGGCTTTCTTACAATTTCTCAAGCTTTCTCTCTTTGGTGGAGTGTTTAATTAAGATTACTAATTTAAACATTTGTTAATTAAGGTCCAGAAAATGAGACAAGAATGTGTTAGTAATGGATAGAGAACAAGTTTTACTCCTAAGAATAATGGCTTCATTATATCATGCAATGTATATTCATGGAAATAATTGTCATGACTAGCAAGCTCTGTTGGACACTTTATTACATTAATCATTGTGGAATATATGAAATGCTTTTGAGAGGACAGTATTAAATTTTGTAGAATTAGTTGATGAGAAATAAAGGTTAAATTGCATGCAAATCAGAAATAGGTCTGATAGTCGTTGGACCAATATAAGTTTCTCTAATTAGGTAATCCCAAACATTAGATAGAGCCTTGTGACTTTTGATTTTGAAGTGGTGTAATTTGCAGTACTATCTTGTACTATTAATTTTTGTGGCTTGCAAATTGAAACTTGAAAGTTGGCTGTTGCACTCTCCGAAAATGTCACATGGTGCATGTCGGATCCTCCAAAATAGTGTATTTTTGGAGGGCACGACATGAGCACAACATAGCTGAGAGGGTGAATTTTTCCTAAAGGGAAGTTACTTTTATATATGCAGCTTTAACTTTAGAGAAACAGCCTTGGATTTGTATCTTTTCTATGAAGAAGTCACTAAAAGAGGTGGATTTAATCAGGTATTTTTAAAATTTCCCACTTTATTGTTATGTGAATTAGTTTATCTCAATACCAACAACCCATGTTTACTGTTCCCACATATGCATGTGCTGGTCTACTGCTAATCACTTAAATAGAAAAGGGGAGTGGTGTTCATTTTGCGCTCCAGGAAAAAGATTACCTTCATTGTGTCAATGTTATGACATGATCCTTCGATCATGTCCTTGGAAATTGAGTGCAGTTTTAGCATACTTGGTCTCTATTTATTTGGTTCCCCAGGTTGCCACATCAGAAGATGATTCATGACTCAGTATTCTTAGATCCATGAAATAACCAGGAATATTTTTCTCAAAATTTAAGTATGATTTGAAATCATTTACAAACTATTTTGTTGGATATAGTTTTCTATATTACACTGCAAAGTAGTCTGCAAAGAGTAGGCAGGTGGAGCATATGCGCTGTAGTCAATAGTCATTTATGATTGGGCCTTCTCAAATAGTAGTTACTTATACTTATGTGTTTCTGACAACTCGGACGTTATCAGTGCACGATGCTTTGGACCCAAACACTATTTATTTTTTTAGGAAATTAGTAATGTGTACAAATAGATTGTCTGAGCACCCAATGTTAGTAGCAACTTCGGATTAAAAGTAATTGAGCACGCATGTTTTAAAAAATTGGGTCCGCTACTGGTTTCTGATATCTAATTGCTTTATACCTTAGTTTTCCCTATTTGGTAAGTAATTTCTGGAAAGAGAGGGTTAAGGGGAAAACATGCTTTATACCTTAGTTTTCCCTATTTGGTAAGTAATTTCTGGAAAGAGAGGGTTAAGGGGAAAACATGCTTTATACCTTAGTTTTCCCTATTTGGTAAGTAATTTCTGGAAAGAGAGGGTTAAGGGGAAAACATGCTTTATACCTTAGTTTTCCCTATTTGGTAAGTAATTTCTGGAAAGAGAGGGTTAAGGGGAAAACATGCTTTATACCTTAGTTTTCCCTATTTGGTAAGTAATTTCTGGAAAGAGAGGGTTAAGGGGAAAACATATTGGAATATTGAAACGAGTTCCAAAAACTTGTTGCCCTTGTTTTTTTCGAAAAAGGGTTGTCTAGTGTAACATTATGTTATTCACTGTATCATAGTTCATTCAGCCGAGAAGTGTGTTCAAGAGGTACGGCTGAAAATGTCAGTGACATGGCCCCACTATCAATTAAGTCTCAGATCATATGAGTTTCTAATTGAAGTAGATGAAATGAAGCCCCTATGGCACTGAATGTGGATATGCATGTGACATTCCCATTATTAGTATGAGTTTAATTACTTGATTTACAATGAGTAGGTTACTAGGGATGCCAAGTGGGGTGAAGTTGCATCTTATTTGCATGTGAGAAGCAACGTCGTAATGTTCCCTACTCAACTTCAGAAGGTCTACGAAAATCTTCTTCTCCAATTTGAGCAAATGTATTACTATAGAAGTCGAGAAAAAGCAACTATACCACCACCTAGTCATCAAGTTTCTGGTGCTGCTAGGGCAGTTTCATTAAAAGGTAAACTTTGTTCTTGAAAGTTTGGGGGCCTATGGTTTCTAGAAGTTGAACTTTTTAATCCTTAGTCCAGTACTAGTTGTTGATAACTCTCTTCTTTGTTTGAAGATTATAATCTTTCTTTAGGTTCTGGGGATAGCATAAATGACTCGGCGGGGAAAAGGAAATATTGTGATTGGTCATCTCCTGTGGTGTTACCACACTCTGATGATAAGAACGGTCCAGTAGAAAAAAGGAAGTGCACTAATGATTGTTGCTCAGTTTCAACAGGTTTGTTATTCTTCTTTATCTCAGAGACTTACAGTTCTATAAGCTTCCAAACTTCTCATCAAAATGTCAGTTTCGAGGAAAGTCGATAAATTGAAGCATCAACATACACTCATGCTAACTCTCCAACGTTGGTCAGTTATGGAGAGTTGACATGAAGTGAATTACTATTTTTTGTCTAAGAGAGTTTGTGAAAAAAACTACTACAATAAATTTCTAATTATGTAAATTATAAGAATATGTATGGACTTTTCAAAAGCTTTTCTAAAAAAAGACTTCGTTAGACAAAGAAAATGATTTATCTTCAGTTTTACCTTGCTTGTTATACAAAGCTGTTATAGGTTTTCCCTCGGGGAAGTTTCTAGAACATCTTTCTCCATTGCTGAAACATTAAAAAGCTCAAAACCTCAGAAGTGTCTTGACATGGATTTTTCTTGGATGATCTTTTCCACTGAGAAGGCAATTCCTCCAACCTCACAAGTCACACCTCAAAAAAAGAAAATATAGGCTGGTGATCTGTTATGCTGCAG